GGGAAGATGGGTCCTGGCTCTAGGTCTGGAGAGCCATATGCTTCCTTGGCATTCATTGCTTTGTTGTTGTTGAGACAGGGTCCCCCTCTGTAGTTCGAGATGGCCTTGAACATTCATGAGGAGATGTTCCCCCAGCCTTATGAGTGCTGGGGTTACAGGCATGAGCCACCACACCCAGTTTTTGGTCACACAAAAACTTCCAGTGTGTGTGTGTGTGTGTGTGTGTGTGTGTGTAACACTTAGGTTCCTTCTCCTACCGAGACTGACACCATGACCAGATAATTCTCCATGCTCACAACCACTAAGAGATCGAGACCACAGGGGCAACTGCCCCAACAGCTTCAGCCATTCGTTCCTCCCATGGCAGCCATAGTGTGAGTGAATGTACTGTTATCCGGTGTGACCTTCGGCCTGGCCTTACTCAGCTGGCGAAGAGAGCGGAGTAGGTCCTGGGATTAGCCTCTTTGAGATGTGTCCATGCCCCCTGCCCCCACTTTCTGTAGGAATCCACGTTTTCTAAGCAGGCAGAGGTTATTTCCTCTTCAAATACATTCTTATGCAAGGAGGCTGATAGAGATCAGAGAATCCTCCTACCCCCACGTGCCCAGTGCCCTTATCAGGCCCAGGAATCTCAAGCAGGGGGCAAACAACCTGGGGGTGGTGGTGGCCTGGAAATGGGGAGCAGTCACCAACTCTTCTTTCCCTTCCTCCCCACCCCTTAAACCGCAGAAACCACTTAAAGCTCAGCACAGGCCTGTCCTTCCAGGGAGGACCCTAGGCAGTAGGTAGAGAGGAAACCTGATGCCATTCTCAGTCTGGCTTGGCCCAGAGAGGGCCATCTCCCTCTGGGAAAGCCTGATGCCGGGCTTTAGGAACCACCTTTCTTTGAGTCTTCGGAACTTCATGCTTGGGGAGGCCTCAACCCCCAGAACGACTTGGAGAGAGGATGGTGTCTTGGCCATAAGAAAACCAACCAACCAAACAACCCCCGCTAAAAAAAAAACCCAAACTAAAACAAACAAACGAAAAAAGACAATGCAAGGTCTTTGGAACATCTGTGGTTTCTGCCTCTCAGCTTCCAGCCCTTCACCTTCACAGAGTGCGAGTGGAGGAGGAGTGGGAAGGGTTGACCCTAGTCTCAGCCTGGAGCTCTATATGGTGACCCTACTTTGAGCTCTCATTTCCCAGTTAACACTGAGTTGGGCTTGGAGACAGGGAGTGTTGAAAATCAGGAACTGGGACTGGAGGTGGAACCCTCCATTTAACCCCAGCACCTCTTAACCTGTCAGGGTAGTGCTCACCTGTATTCCCAATTCTTGGGAGATGAGGCAGGAAGATCAGGAGTTCACTGTCATCCTAGGTTGCTAGGGAGCTTTAGGCTAGCCTGGGTTACATTGGAGCTTGACTGAAAACAATTACAAAGAACAAAATTGGGATCTCTGATTTTGGGGACAAGGAAGACTTTAACAATGTGGTCTACTGGATAACAGCCACGAACCCTGAATTCTGTTCACAGCCTTCAGCCAAAGGGTGGGTGGGTGGGTACCATGGGTACTGACTGGCCTTTGTTGATGAGGGGCTCCGGGGCCTGAGCTGCTTGAATACTGGGTAGGTTCTTAGGGTTCATTTGCCCCCAAGGTATACATCTGTGGTTGGGACTGGATGTTCCTATCATGAGCCATGAAGAAATGCGCTAGAACTTCTTCTGGGGGACTTTGTACCTCATAGACTCCCCAAACCCTTGGGCTGGGCTGTGGCAGGGGATGTTTGTTTAGTTGCTGTCCTTACAGCCAAAGGCAAGTTTATTCAACCTCGCTGATCTCCTTCCTGCCTTTGTGACCCAGGAATAATAATGCCTCCCTTACCTAGTGGTGAGGAGATAAGACCAATGGGTAAAGTACAGGACCTGGTACAAAGTACTGCAGCTAAAAAAGGAGCGTTTCAGTCCCTCGCTGTCTCTTCCACTCCTGGAATCGTGCCTCTCTTTCTCTTACTTGACGTCTCTCCGTGTCCCGCCATCAACTCCTTCTTTACTCTTGTCCGTTTTATAACTCACGTGATTCCCGTGTTTGTTTTCATCATGGCTGTCTCCGGTGCCTGGTGCCCCCTAGACCCTCCCTAGCATTATCGGAGGAATGGATGAATGAGAGTAATCTGACCTGTACACATCTTTCCAGAGACTTTCAAATCTGGCTGCTCACTAAGTTGTTAGGAGAGATGCGGTTCAGCCCAGTAGAGACAGAACGAGGTGTGGGGGTGGACTTCCTAGAGTTCATAGGTGTGCGTCCAAAGGGCCAGGATGAGAACCGGTTGAAGAACTATCATCTGGTGGAAAAGCCACCTTTTCAGCCTTTCAATACACAGTTTAAAAATTATATCTACTTAAGTGCGTGTGAGTTGACTCGCTCCTCTACCGCGTGGGTCTCCAGGATTAAACTCAGGCTTGGTGACAAGTACCTTGAGTCATGCCAACTAGTTTTATTCTTTATTATCTGACTAAGGCTCAAGGTCACATTGAATCACAACCATAGCTCACTTTATGGCAGTTGCCAGGAGGAACAAGTGTTTGGAACCATAGAACAATTCCTCTGGGCTCAGGCTGCCGGCAGCAGGGAGAATTGTTTGGTCAATGCCACCACCTGGTGGACACCACGAGCAAGGGCTTGGTGGTGGGAACCTAGTCAGTGGAGGGAGAAGGAACTGGGGACTTAGGAAGGAAGGGTGCGCTCTCTCTCTTTCCCTCTCCCTCCGTGTGTGTGTGTGTGTGTGTGTGTGTGTGTGTGTGTGCAGCAGCTGCTGAGACTTTTGTTGGGAACAGCAGGNGTGTGCAGCAGCTGCTGAGACTTTTGTTGGGAACAGCAGGTTTAGCCTCTGTGGGGGGGGGGGGGGCACAACTGGAACCGTGGAAAATGAGAAAAGGCCCCCGGGGTCTGGGGTGGCAGCGAGGAGGAAGAAGCTGGATCTTTCTAGGGTCTGTTATCTATCTTCCTTCCCACCCCACCCCCATTTTCTCTTCCAAGTCTGGCTTGAGCCAGGAGGAACCAGTTCCCGTGGAGAGGGAGAGAGAAGGTCACTGCTGACGTCAAAGGGCTTCAGGTAGGAGGTAAATGCGGCCTGACCCACTTTTATTCCACTGTCTTTCACCCTCCTCTTCTCCTGGCTGGAGCAGCCCTTACGGCATCCCTGATCACACTCCCTGATAGCACCCTCTTTCCTAGATAGATCCCAGTCCCCACTACCTCAAGTACTGCTGGGTACCCAGGTGCTACTCTGTAGATCCCTCCTCTCCACACAGGGTTCCTCTGTAGCCCCAACTGTCCTGTCTCTGCGCTGGGATTAAAGAGGTTTGCCACTATGCCCAGCTGGTTTACTCTGGCTCTCGGCTCCTTCCCTTCTTCCAGCTCCTGCAGCGCAGGTGTACAGTGTGGATGGGACAGGGCCAGAGGGAGGCAGGGAGGTTTAAGGGGCACTGTGTGCTAGTCTGTGCTCCCCTGACTCACTTTTAGGGGTCACAGATTTCATTTGTTATTTAGGACACACATTGGTCTAAGGGGTAGGAAGGACCTACCTCTGTGCAGCCCCAAGGAACGAGGCGAGGGGGACTTTGCGCTTTGGTTCTGTTCTTAGAGCTCTCACTGGGGTGACTCAGTGACTCAGGGGCTCTCTGAGGGTGCGGGATTTTGTTGAACTCTAGGAACCTGCCACGGTTAGTTTCAATTGTCAACTTGACAGTTTAGAATCTCCTGGGAAGAGAACTGTCTCCTTCATGCTGGCCTGTGGGTAGGTCAGTGGGGGATTATCTTGATTACAATTAATTAATGTGGATAACCTACCCATGTTGTGAAATAAGATATTTGTTTAATATGTAAAGATGTGTTACATTTGTTTATGCTGCATTTGTTTAACTATGTAAAGATGTGTTTCTGTTTCGTCTTTCCTGCTTAAGGTATCTGATGGGTCTAAAAAAAGCTGAACAGTCAGCCAGGCGGGCGGTTGTGCATGCCTTTAATCCCTGCCCTCGGGAGGCAGAGGCAGGCGGATCTCTGTGAGTTTGAGGCCAGCCTGGTCTACAAGAGCTAGTTCCAGGACAGGCTCCAAAGCTACAGTGAAACAAACAAACAAACAAAACCAAAACCAAAACTGCTGAACAGCCAATAGCTAGGCAGAGGAGGGATGGGGGTGGGGAAGCCAGCCAGAAATGGAGGAAACAGAAAAACTGGACGGATAGTGTATATGAGCGCAGTGAGCCTCGGGATAGTACGCAGATTAATAGAAATGGGATAATTTAAGTTAAAAAAAAAAACAAGCTGGAAACAAGCCTGGGCCAGGGCCAAGCATTCGTGGGTCTCCATGTCTTTATCTGGGAGCTGGTTGGCATCCCCAAAAGCTTATATATACACACACATATATATTCATATATAAATGTATGTGAATGTGTGTGTGTGTATTCTTTTCTTGTGCGTTCAACTGTGTAGCCCTAGCTGGCTTGAAATTTGCTTTGTAGATGAGGCTGGCTTCAAACTTACAGAGATCCAGCTGCCCCTGCCTTCCAAGTGCTGCGATTAAAGGCGTAAACCATCATTCTCTGCTTTATTTTTTATATGTATATATGTGTTTATTCATGTGTGTGTGTGCATGTCTGGCCTTGAGAGGCCAGAAGAGGGCGTTGGAACCAGTCTCACAGGCAGTGCTCTTAACCACTGAACCTCTCCAGCTCGCTCTCTTTCTGTTCCTGACTGTGGATGTGGCTAAGTGCTTCAAGTCCTGGCCTTGATTTCTCCACAGTGATGGTTTATCACCTGGAATTGTAAATCCAGCAATGGAAATAAAACTAAGACAGGACCACAGGGCCTACTCTGTCTAGCCCTCTTGAAGTAGCATGTTTCGGGGAGAGATCCTAGGTCCTGCGTGTTTAGCAAGCACTTCCAGGGTTTCTGACGGCTGTGTATTGTGAATCTCTTGAATCACTGTTTAAAGTCTGTTCCTGCTCAGACGAATGGACTGGGCCAAAAGGAAGGAAAAGATTTGCTGCAAAGCCTAGAGTTTTTGGTGCCCACTGGGGAGCATGCAGCTAGAGACAAACTGATGCTTTATTACAAAAATAAATCCACGTTGGGCAGATGGCAGCAAGAATAAGGGCTGCAGACACAGCGGAGACCTCCCGAGGAAGCTGTGGTGTCCGTCTACAGGCTGAGATGCCCAGGTGCCAGGGAGGACCCTGGGCCTAGACCCCCAGCCAGGGGGGGCAGCAGGGCGATGAGGGGTGTCTCACACTCCCCCAGCAGCACGTCCCTGCGCAACCCCGCACCCCTATCCAGCACCTTGGCCCTCAGACTGCGGGAGGCCAGATCTGGCGGGCCCAGCCCTTCGAAGAAGAAGTCTTCATTGAAGATGGGGTTGGAGCTGCCCTGGACCACGCGGCTCCTCTGAGCTCGCGGCCTAACGCGCGGCTGCAGTCGCAACACCACGCAGCAGCCCCCGCCGCCGCTCCCGGGCCGGGCCCGCGGCCGAGGCAGCCCCTCGGCGCTCACCAGGCGCAGCCGCAGCCTCCCCGGCCCCGCCTGGTACTCGGTGGACAGGCGCAGCTGCCCGCCGCGGGGTCCCAGGCACAGGACGCTGTCCTTGGTCGGCCGCAGCTGGCAGCAGAGGAAGTCCAGGTGGAAGAGCGGCGGCGCGCGGCGCGGCGCGAACGGACTGGTGTCGGCCGAGCTCGCCTCGTCGGGGGACAGGGAGTGCGGCCTAGGCGCGCACGGGGAGCCGCAGGGAGACGAGTCGGGCGACGAGGCCGTGTCGCTGTCCGGAGCCCGGCAGAGGCGGAGGTCCGGGGCCGAGCCGTGCAGCCGCGACTGCGCCGGGGCCAGGCCTGCAGCCAGGTTGCGCGGCACATGGAACAGGGACTCGCGGCGGCGCGTGTGCGGGCTCTCGGGCAGGAAGGTCCAGCCCTCGCGGCCCGCCAGGTGCGGCAGCGAGCAGACCACCGGGAGGTTCCGGCCGCTCGGGTTGCGGTCCACCCTGGCTTCGCCGCCGCCGGGGTCCCGGAGCCGAGGCGGAATGAAGAACTGCGGGATGCGGTCGGGGGTGAGGACGTTGGGGTTGCAGCGCGAGGGCGAACCTGCGGCCCGGCGCTTGGGGATCAGGCTGGAGTGCGCCTGCCTTGACCCGGTCTCTGCTGTCCTCACCCTATAGCCGGCTTTCTCTAAGAGCCACATGCAGTGGGTGGAGATAATGAAGCACCAAGGCGGAGAAGGCCCCAGTCTAGCCTCCCGGTTGGGAGCCCTGGACAGAGGACACGCTGAGAGAAGAGAAGGGGGGTGCGAAGGTCGGTGATGCTGCTGAGAGCCAACACTTGGAGGTCGGTCTGCCACCGTGGCTTTGTCCCCAAACTCAAGGACCACAAGGGGATATTTAGCAGGTAAAAGAAAGGGTGAAGTCTAGACACTGGAGAAATCAGGAAGATTTTCATCTGGAGATGGTTCAGTGGTTAGGAGCACTTGCTGCTCTTGCAGAGAGGATCTGGCTTTGGTTCCCAGCACCCACATGGTGATTCGCAGTCATCCATAGCTGCAGTATCAAGGGATCCAATATCCTCTTCTGACCTCTGCAGGTATCAAGCACACACGTAGTGCGCATACGTACATGCAGGCAAAACACTCATACACACACAAAAAAAATACATCTTCACAAATTTTTAAAATGATTTTCAGATGGAGGCCTTGTATACTCTACCCACTTAGGGGTTATGGGGCATTAACACCCATATCGCCCAAAGATTTTTAGTCACAGTCACGGACCCAGATATCCATCCTGCTCATGTGTACTCTAGCTCCATAAGGTCGATAGGCTGACTCCCTAGTCCTACATCAAGGATCTGGTCATGGCTCCTCAAGGCTCCTTCCCTGCCTCTCTGGATTAACCTATCCTTGAGCTCGAGCCCCATCTGACTTTTGTCTCCTCCCCCAAACCACCCTTCACCTACTCAAGCTGCTCCTGAAAGAGACTCACTTCTGTTCCTAGCAGCTGGGAGCGTCTGGTTGCTGATCCGTAGACACGCAGGGCCAGGGCTAGTCCAGGGAGAGTCACATCTTTCGGTGAATCACGGAACCCCTCTCCCTTCCTGTTTACTCCCAGCTTCTCAGTTCTGCTGCATCTGAGGCTGTAAGGCGGAGCTGGGCAGTTGAGTGGTCCCCTCCCACTGTCCACTCTTTCTCCTTAGGAACCTCAGAGCACAAAGGCACCATTGATTCCCCGCCACCCCCAGTGCATGCCCAGGAAGACGCCCAGTGCACCTCTGCATCGAGTCACCAGAAGCCATGAAAGTACCAGTAGTTTGCCAGGGACTCTGAGTTCATGTCCGGCTCGGTCGTGTGCCCCGAGTGTGGACCTTACCTGTGGGCAGCGGCTGGATACCAGCTTCTGGCTTCCGGCCCCACTGTGCAGAGCCTTAGGGGATCGACTTTCTCTCTAGCTTGCTCCCGCCCAAGTCTTTCCGGGAGGAGCTGGCAGGGGCCTGTGCTGCCTACTTACGTCTGTCTTCTTTTCCTGGATAAACATAGGTCTGTCTCTCTGGTCTTCAACCGGACTTTCTTAACTCCTTCCTCTAGTCAGAGCCAGCTTTCCAGCCGCAGACCTGGCCTGCTAGACCTGAGCCTGTGCTGCCAAGGTTGGGAGGATGGCAGAGAAGAGGGACACTGCCATCAGTGGCTAGTGGCTAGCTGTTGTCCCAGCCCTCCCAGGCAAAGCCCTTAGCCATCTTCACACACAGCTTGTCTTCTGTAAAACCCCCTTTGCTGGGATCCTGTCGTGGCCCCTAACTATGGGCTCTGAAGCCAGCCAGTAACTCCTTAGCATTGTGGCTTCAGTGACCAGTTCTCCGATTTATATCCACACACCCCCAGCAGAAATCCTGCTAGACTCAGGATTTCTGGATGTAAAGACACGGAGGACAGCTGGTTCCAACAGTGAGGACCAGCAGACTTATGTCCTCCATCTTTGGCAGACTCTAGGAAGCACAGGTGGCCACTGGGAAGATGAGATTATCAGTTGTACAGGCACACCTCCCACCTCATTCCCTCAAAGACAGAAGCTCACTTCTTCCTTAGCTGGGCTAGTTCCCTCTTTACTTTCCCTTACCGACAACTTTCTTCTTCTTCTTCTTCTTCTTCTTCTTCTTCTTCTTCTTCTTCTTCTTCTTCTTCTTCTTCTTCTTCTTCTTCTTCTTCTTCTTCTTCTTCTTTCTCCTTCTCCTTCTCCTTCTCCTTCTCCTTCTCCTTCTCCTTCTCCTTCTCCTTCTCCTTCTCCTTCTCCTTCTCCTTCTCCTTCTCCTTCTTCTTCTTCTTCTTCTATTTATTATGTATACAGTATTCTCAGTATTCTGTCTGTGTGTATGCCTTCAGGCCAGAAGAGGCGCCAGACCTCATTACAGATGGCTGAGCGCCACCATGTGGTTGCTGGGAATTGAACTCAGGACCTTTAGAAGAGCAGGCAATGCTCTTAACCACTGAGCCATCTCTCCAGCCCCACAACTTTTCTTCTTAATTAGAGATGCCTCCTGTCCTATTTCACAGCACTTCATCTTTTATGACATTAGTTAGTGTAAGTCCCAAGTTCCAGCCTCTGGCCTCCATCTTTGTAGGCCCCTTCCCTGTGCCCGCCAAGCCTTGACTCCTTCCCGAAGGAGTGTGAAGACAGCCTGCCAAAATCTTGACCACTCCTCAGTCTATTTAAACTGTTTTCTAGAAAGTTCCTGCATGGTCTCTTTTCTCTCCTCCCCTCCCCGTGGTTACCCTTGGCGCCACTGGAGAATGCAGGGATCCCATTAAACCTGGATATTTTTAATTTGGCTTGTGATTTGGCTTGATTGGGATTTTTGCATTGGCAGAGAGCCCGTGTTAGGAAAATTCCTAACAGTTAGTTTTTTTTCCCTACTTACATATTTATTCTTTCTTGTAGGTCAGAGTGAGTGACCTGGAATTTCCTGCATAGCCTGGGATAGCCCAGGCTAATCTGCCTGATCCAGGACCCTGAAGCAGGACTGGCAGTGTCAACCATTATGTGGTTATTTTTTAATGTCTGCCCCCTTGTTAGGATGTAAAATATTCGATATGTATGGACATTTAGTCTACATGTATGTTTGTGCATGATGTGTATGCCTGGTGTCCTCAGAAGCCAGAAGAGGACATCAAATCTCCTGCAGTTGGAGTTACAGATAACTGTGAGTCACCACCTGGGTGCTGGGTATCCAACCTGGGCCCTCTAGAAGAACAGCAAGTGCCCTTAACTGATGAATCATTCCCTCCAGGTCTTCACTCAGGATTTTAAGGTGTAAATGAATGCTATTAAACAGAATTATACTTGAAACAGATTGTCCATCTGTTCACTGAAAATCTAAATTGTACCAGTTGCAGTACTGAGTACACAGAGCAGGGAGCTAAGAGAAAGACAAAGAACATGGCTGCAGCAAGCGCTGCCCCAAGACAAACTGAAATGCAGGGTCATGGAATAAATCAGGAAAGCAGTGATTATTTTGTCATCTGATGATACTTGAGGATCACATGTTTCTTTTGTTCTCCTGGTAACCTCTGACCTTGTTGCAATAGGAAATATTTCCACACTAGCCCAGAATGGAGTATAATAAAGGTTTCTTTATTAGGGGGTAAGCTCACAGAATTGGTAGCAATCCACAGTCTTCTGTGTGCAGTAGGAGCCAGAACTGAATCCAGCTACCTAGGGGCCTGTGCATGACTTTTGTCTGCATATATGGTATATGAGATCACACCCAAAGTGGGTCAGTATCTTAAAGGCTTTTGACTGAAGAAATTCCCACAACACCTCCCTCTTGTCTAAATAAGAGAGTTCTAAGCCTAATACAAATGATATACAATAAGAACAAATATCAAGTATAAAAATTGGAATTACAACCAGCATGAACAATATCAAGCAAGAAACATATGCTAAATGTTTCAATAATTTTCCTATCCTAAGGGGTCTAAGTCTGATATTAGAAATGGCTTGGCTAAGTCATGAGAGGAAAGTAACTATGACTATCTAGTCCCCAACCCCATCAAAGACCTAAGAAGGGAAATAATATTACTTTAGTAAACAGGAAGTGCAATCAAGCAACTTCCAAAATGTGTAAGAAATGGCAGAGACAACTGGCTACCTGGGCAATCACCCAAAGCCTCATTTGCAATGTTGGGACAACCAACTTTGGCTAAGGCCTAGTGTAACTGAAATACTGTTTATCAGGGAGGGTTGGACTGTCACAGTCTGGGCAACAATCAGACAGGCTGAGGGTGCTGGCTTTGGGATGTCAACTTCGTGACTTCTCTCATTTCATAGGTTAGGAATGTCCCTGACTCTCAGAGTTGTGAGGATTATACATGGGCATTAGTTAGGCTGCCTCCTGAGACACACACACACACACACACACACACACACACACACACACACACACACACACACACACACAGAAAACCCAACTTTATATATATATATATATATATATATATAGAGTGATGAGGGTGTTAAAAAGGATTTATTTTTATGTGAATAGATGTTTTGTCTTCATGTATGTTAATGTACAAAGTGGTTGCAATGCCAGAGGAGGCCAGAAGAGGGCATTGAACCATCTGGAACCAGAGTTATAGGTAGTTGTGAGCTGCCCTATGGGTACTGGAAACCAAACTAGGGTCTTCTGCAAGAACAGCGAGTGCTCTAAACTGTTGAGCCATTTCTCCTGCCCTGAGTTTTGAAAAATACTTGTAAAATAAGTATGAAATAGAGTAGGATCTGTGGGAACTTGATCTTGGGGCTTCATTCATCCATAGTTATTGAGTATCTGCTCTGTTCAAGACTCTGAGAAAAAAGAGCAACAAGAACACCAGTTTCCTTGGCCAGATGTAGTTTATACTTTCTTGGAGGGCAGGCAAATGCATTGGTGACAAATGCACTGGTTAAGCAGTGAGGAGGCGTGTCTCCTGTGTTAAAGGGACCTGGTGTCTGTTGAGGATGGAATAAGGGGGCAAGGGTTGAAGAGAGAGAAAGGACACCACTGCAATAATGTCACGTGAGCTGACTGGTGCATGAACCATGGCTGTGGTAGTCTGTTTCTGATGTATTCTGAAAAGGATTTCCAGATGGACTCATTCCCATCCACAGATTTTTGGCCTGAGTATCTGAAAGGAGTTACCATTTTATTAAGAGGGGAAATATCAGTTGATCGGTTTCGTATCTATTAAGTTCGGACCCTTTAATGTTAGACATTTAAGTGGGGATATGGAGTTGACTTTTGGATATATGAATCTTGTGCACAGATTACCTCAGAGGCACCAGGAGAAATGA